CGGCTTTCTCTTGTTGGTAGTTTGGAGAATTCTGTTCTGCTAGTATCTCAATGTTGCCGCGATTCTATTTTGTTAGACTTCGTTATTGCAGCACCAGTTAACATAGCTGAGTAGGCATTCATAGGTGGAGAATCTAGCATCACTCCCCTACGACTTCTTCAGCTCGGATTATGGAAATTGTCTCATTCAATGAAGGCAAATCTGTCCTGCCCAAGATCTGTACCCAAACCTGGTCTAGATCAGTGTTTAATCCAGCTAAGAATTCATGTACTCTTTCATTTTCAATATAATTCTTCAATATCAATCGCTGCATTTCATCTTGATGCACCTATAGTAGTCAAGTTCCTGCCAAGCATTTTTTATAATGTTGGCATATTCTGTAACAGACCAGGATTCTTGCTTGGTGGCTGATGTTCTGATTTTGATCTCATAAATCCAAGCAGCATCTTGTTTTTTAGAATACGTCTGTTGAATGGATTCCCAAGTCTTCTTTGCTGTCGATAAAAACATGCAGGTATCACTAACTTCAGGTGTCATGGAGTTCGATAACCAAGTCATGACCATAGAGTCTTCCTCATCCCAAACTTCAAATTTTGGATCACCTTCTTTTGGTCCAGTTCCGAGGAGATAACTCATCTTCCCTTTTCCCTTTAGGAAAGTCTGAACTAGTTGAGACCACTTCAAGTAATTCTGACTGGTTAGCCGATAGGCGGACAGGATATTCTGCAAGTCTCCAGTTGTGGAAATCATAGCATTCTCGGGTGCACCCTTATTGCCTGAGCTGGTGGAGTCTTCGACTATTTCGGACATTGTAAAAGTTGAAATCAGCAATGAAGGCTGTTGCACATACAGGAAAAAACCAGCAATGAAGGCTGTTGCAAGTTGCTTAAGGCAAAAAATAATGAGGCGGTGAAGGCCAATATAGAGAGAACAATCTGGGAAGAGGAAGGAGGTTAAGGATCGATGTTTTCCAGTAATTAAGGCTGAAAAGAACAATTTTTAAAGTGCCGTATCTGGCTCTGATACCATGTGAGCTTTGGAAAATAAAATGTGTGATATTCTTATTGTAATTCTTTACAGTTGGGTTACAATTTACAGGCTATTAGCCTTGAAATAAACTAGGAACTAATAACAACTTTTCCCTTTGAAATAGGGATACTCCCCTAGAATTTAAAAATTACAAATTTGAATATGGAAACTTATCATAACTACACTCCTAATTATCTGGAGTAGATGAGGTTGTATCTTCCAACAACGCTAATTAACAAAACTAAAAGTCTAACTTGCACAAACATAAAATAGAAGATAATAAGTTCTCAAATCAAAATTATGACAATTAAATTTTTCTTATATCATCCACTAAAATGATCATCATCTTCGTTATATGTTTTTTTTTTATTTGTTGTCATCCTTCTATTGCAATGGCACGTTCTTCCCAATTTCCTTCTGTAGGGAGAAAAAAGAAAATAAAAGAATGTGTGTAATGCCCTGAAAACCTTCGAATAAAAAATTATTTGTTTTTTATGCTATATTTTATGTTTTGATAGTTGAGGGACTAAAATGAAATAGGTTTTAAATTCTTATTTTATTTGTCTGAATAACTGGATATTGGTGGGGCGAGATTTAATATATCAATATTGGACTCTTTTTGAAACTTGCAATTAATTAGAAGTCTTTGACTTAATAAAATGTTAATTTGGATAAGTTAGGCCTAAGATACTGAAGTTTATATGTGTTATTATTATTAATATTTAATTTAAATTAGATATCGCCAATATTTAAAGTTTTGGCAACCATGTGTATTTTACATTGGGTACAAACAAATTCTTATGTAACTAGTATATATATCTCAACAAGTACAGTTTACTGATAACTTTATTTTTTGACTAGGAACCATTTATTTAAATATAATACAAACTCTATCACTTTGAAGTCATACATCACTTTTTCACGTGTGGGGCCTATTTTGTTTTGATAAATTTGATAGTAATCATGACTTCATTATTTGAAATCAATCCCTATCCAAATTACTTGTGAATTGTGATACAAGGTTCTACTATTCTAATTGCACCAAAATTGAGTATTGATTTTCAGTATGACAAAAAAAAATTAAAATATTCAACAAACTAATTAAATAACATGTCTTGAAATAAATTGAAACTAACTAAGAATTTAAGCACATAAAAACTGAATGTATATTTCTCCTTTTCCTTCTATCCACTTGGTAGCCCTCATCACCATTCTGCCACAGATCCAATCGACCTGAATTAACTTATAAAATTATAGTAAGACTAAGAGTGAGTATTTAAAAATATTCAGTGACATACGTGCGATTTCGCGATTTTTATAGACAATTATATAACAATAAATTTAACATTATACGACATTTCTTATGAAGTATATTGATGATCAAGCGACTCACTCATCAGTAATACTTTGAATTTTGGAAAGATTTCACATTTCGTTATAAAGAATCCAATTAAGTTAACATTCCGTTAATTTGAATCCAAAGGTCCACTGACAATTCATGCATAAATTATTGAACATAGAAGTATCCGGAAACGAATAACTTACACAAAAGTATCTTATCTCGTTTATTGAAAAAATGTAAAAATAATACGTTTGAAACCCTTTTCTATGCTTCCTTTCTCTCGTCAAACTCTAATCTCTCTTTTTCTTTTTTTTTTTCTTTTGGTCTAATAATGGGACAAAAGTACATTATTTATACTGAAAATCAATATCCAATTTTGGTGTAATTAGAATAGTATAACCGTGTATTACAAGTAATTTGGATAGAGATTGGTTTCAAATAATGAAGTCATGATTACTATCAAACTTATCAAAATAAAATAGGCCATACACTTGGAAAAGTGATGCATGATTTTAAAGTGATAGAGTTTGTATTGTATTTAAATAAAGTCAAAAAGTAAAGTTATTATTACACTGTACCTGTTGGGTGTATTTATATATATCGTTACATAAGAATTTGCTTGTATCCAATCTAAAACATACGTGGCAGCCAAAACTTTAAATGTTGGTTATATCTAATTTAAATTACATACTAATAATAATAACTTTTATAAACTTCAGTATCTTAGGCCTAATTTATCCAAATTAACTTTTTCTCTAGTCAAAGACTTCTAATTAATTACAAGTTTAAAGAAGAGTCCAATATTAATATACAAAATCTCGTTCTATTAATATCTAATTATTCAACTCAAATAAAATAGGAATTTAAAACCTATTTCATTTTAGTCCCTCAATTATCAAAATATAACATATAAAACAAATAAATTTGTATTCTAAGGTTTTCGGGGCATTACAAGTTCCCTTCCTAAAAAGAATTTTGTCCTCAAAATTACTTGCCTTCGGGTCCTCTGTTGGCCTATCCTTAGTTTAAAGCAAAAACTTTGGCATTTCCTTTCTTTTCTTGCTCATTATCTTTCTTCGAGGGGGTTTCTTTGCAGTTTTTAGCAATATGATCTGTCTTATTGCATCGATAGCACACATTACTCCCCAATAAACATTCACCCCTATGTGTCCCGTTGCACTTTGGACAAGGTGAAACAGTTTGTCCAAATCTTGATGCAATGTTAATCTTCTTGTTCTATCTGTCTTCTTTCTCTTCATGGACCTATACCATTTTTACTTTCCTTAAGGATCGGCATCTTGTTGAGAAGTTTGGTCAATCTATAAACTATTTAAGATTGCTTGAGTAGTTTGCAAAACCTAACTGTAGGTAGTGAATTTGTGGTATGTCATTATTCCACCAATCTCTGGACGCAATCCTAGTTCAAACCTCCTTGCTTTCTTTGTCTCGGTGTCCACTAGGTGTGGTGCGTACCTAGAGAGTTGTTCAAACTTTCTCATATTCCTCGAGCTTCATCATTCCTTGTTTAAGTTGAAGAAACCGTCTCTTTTCGATCTCTCAAGGCTTGCGGGATGTATTTCCCATCAATTCATCCTTAAATTGTGTCGAAGTCAGAGCACGTTGTTGTGCTTCTATTCTAGTGTGATGTTGACTCCCACTAGTGGTTTGCAGCATCAACCAACATGAATTCTGCACATTATACTTTCTGAGCATTAGTGCAAGAAATATGTTTAAAGATTCGCTCCATTCCTCTTATTCATTCTTCATTTGCTAGTGGGTCTTCCTTGTCGTCGAAGATTAGGGGTCTATAGCGACGAAACTGTTCAACAATTGAGTTGATGTTGTTAGCTTTTGCATTCTGGGAACCACCCTGTGCTTGTTGTCTACCCAGATCTTGTACAGCCTTCAACAAATCCCTGCTGACCATGACTTGGTTTTATTTTTGTCTTGCCATTTTCTTAACAAATAAATTTTTTAATTTAGAAATATTTAATAATAATAATAATGATGATGGCGAAAAACTTTTAAAAAATTCAAATTTTTACATATAGTATTTTGTTTTTAAAAAAATATACATGTCAAATAAATAAGTACATAAACTTTTCTTAAATAAGTAAATAACATTTATTTCTAATCTCTATGATTCTTAAAAATCTTCTTTTGGTAGAGCCTCATCATCCAAAGTAATGCACTACTCGAGCTCAGAATCTATAACCAAATTAATGAAATTTTGTGGCTCGAGTTCTTGCTTAGGGTCTTCCAGCTCTAGTTCGATTACCTCTTCTGGATACTCATTAAGCTGTTCTTCTAGCTCGGACCCGGGTACTAGCTCTTGTTGTATATGGTTCCACAAGATTATGATGTCCTCACATTATCCCTTAAAATCAATCATATCCTAATCTTTTTGTAAATATAACCCATAATCTATCTCTCTCACGAAGTAAGCCTCGTCTTTCCATTGAGGCCGCATAGTGCTTATAAGATGATATATCGAGAGGATTGCCCCCTCATTATATCCAAACGATATTGCTTGCTCCCACTTAAAAAGGAAATTTTCGACATGTTCAACAAAGGTTAGCTTTCATCTCACTTCATAATTTATGTAGTTCTCAATGACCATTTGAGTACGATGAAGGTATGTTAGGGCTATTCCTAGTCATCCTAATTATTTGCAAGTTCTAATCATGTGACAAGTATAATTTCAATTTTGCTTAATCTTTCGGTGATAATATTATTTCATTCCATGCTCGCAAAAACAATATTTATGTAAAATGTGAAAAAAATTTGACTACTAAATTATGCGAGGTAAACATACTAATGTTTATGAAAAATGATCTATATTTATTCTACTTTCTTTTCTTTTTATTTGAAATTTCCTAAAATAAGATTTTCTAAAAATAGAATTTTCTTAAATCTAAAATGGTTTGAAATATTGTTTTTCGTCTTGAATATCCAAAAGGCTTTCAGATGAGGAGGTGGTCACAGGTAGACTACTTAAATTTCAAGCCCTTCTTAGACAATTTAGATCTTCTTGACAAAGCCTTTAAATCTTGCGAGTGCGTAAATCAAGAAAACTCAAACAATAAGTGGAATGTGAAATATCTTAAAATATAAATTTTTTAATTGATAAATTTTCCTTCTTTTTTTTAAACATCACTCAAAAGCTAAAGCTAAACACAGAAATATTTATGATATGTGAAATCTAAAACATGAGCATTAAGCTATAACAATTTAAATTCTAAATTGCCATATTCAAAATTAATTTAAAACAAACATTAACCTTCAAAATAACAAATAAAAGGTCCTTTTTAAATTTTTTTATTCACTGTTCACCTGAACAGTGCATGTTGTCACTTCCACAAATATTTTTTTATCTCCTGAAATATTTTTTTTTTTAAATGTCAATATGAAAGTAGAATTGTGCTCTAATGCTAAATTGTAACACCCCAAAATTTTATTAATCTTGAAGTATTACCAAAAACTCAATTTTCTTTGTAATTATTGTGGAACGATAAAAATAAATAAATAACTAAAACATCCATATACTTAAACTAATCATGTAAATTGTTTGAAAAATGCAAGGCAAATGAGCAAACATCTTAATGGGTTTGAGGTTTAAGCCTCTGTTAATGAGGTATAAGCCATTGCCTTAAAGGTGTGGGTATCAAAGCGTTCTAGCCTCATGTGATGCGGGATTCAAAGTGTAAGCCTTAAATAGTTTTTTTGAAACTATGCCTTACTCCAAGTATTTCAGAAACATCAAGCTTTTGAATACAGGAACTGGCTTATGGAGCTAAAGAATAGCTAGAAGTTCACTTTTACA